TATATTATATATATGTATATATATACTTTTTTTTAAACTAATGACTTTAATGCCAAAACTTTGCTGAACCAAGAAAAATATGGGTTTAATGTTCTCTGCTCATTTTTTTTTTCTTCTTTAAAAAAAATACAACCCAAAAAAAGAAAGGGAAACTTATTAGTATGTAATGTTTGAGTCTATCCCATTTATACACAACATTGTAAACATATATAATCTATATTACATGTGCTTCATTTCTGCCTGGGTGTGTTTTTTTTTTTCTTTAAACCTTTTTTTATCACTAGAACACCACAAAAAACCAAAACAGAACCAAACCAAAACCCAAACCAAAACAAATAAAAACAAAACAAAAAACTGAACAAAGAACACAAGTTACAGGTTATTTAACATCTTTCTGTCAAGGGTCCCTCTCCCAGTCTCCTGGGCGCAGAGTGGTCAACAACACAGTCCAAAGGAGGGCTCACGAGCCATCCGCGATGCAAAGCCAGCTCCAGGGAATGGGGTAGATGGGGAATACTGGTTTTAAAAAAGGGGACTTCACAACAAAGATTTTGTTTTTGCCCGCTGCAGATGCTGAAGGAGGTCTCAACACGCGGGACCTGGGAGCCGAGGCCCCCCACTGCTCCTATATCCTCGAGTCCATGTCTGGAGTCTCTGGTATGTTTTTTTTTCTTTTTCATATTTTAAAACGTCTTTTTTTTTGTTGCTGTCGTTCTTCTCCCCCTTGATGTGATGAGCTGAGCCAAGTAGCTGGGTCCCGCCCTCCTGCTGGGTCCTTCATAAGTAGATGCGCCGAAGGTCTCCGGGAGACGTGATGGTGTTACACTGGGGACAGAGCTTCTTGGCACCCTGCAACCGGCAAATGAGACAAACATTGTGAGAGACAGACGCACCGCAGAGGATGACCCATGCGACCCTGTCCTCAGCCTGCGATCTCAGGGAGAGCAGTGCAGGAGCAGGGACAGCAAGGCCACCCCCCTTCCCCTCCAGGCAGGGCCATGCCCTCCTGACAGCGGGCACAAGCTGTGAGAAGGGGGAGCCCCAACACCTTTCTGGCTTGTTCTGGAAGCCTGTCGCCCTGCTCCAGTCCCCAGCACGAGGCAGCTGGGCAGGCAGGAGCTCTGCAGGAGGCTGGAACCTGGGGCCAAGATGCATCGCAAACTCAGCAGCTCCAGGGAGAGGGGTCTCTGCAGATGGATGGGTCTGAGCCCCCCGTCCCACTGCACTGTCATTGCTGGCTGCCAGGCAGATCTGCTCCTCTCTGCTTCCCTTGCTCCTCTGCAGCCTCTGGTGAGCCAGTTCAGGTCATGGAGCAGGCAGAAACCCAACCCAGGCAGAACAAGGGCAGTTGTCAGCTGGGATGACTGAACCTGTTCATGGTGGGGTTGGGCCATCCCTCTCAGGGCAGCTTGCGAGACAACTGCCTCAGCCATCCTGCAAAATCCCCAGAGCTGCTGGCATGAAGGAAACCCCCGTCCTGTTCCCCCTGCAGCTCGCAGGGGTGCTGGAGAGATGAGTCTGTTCTGCCAAGGTGAGCTGCAGCGAGGTAATGGGTGGCCGACATGAACACTACGTGAAATAAAACAAGGGCTGATGTGCCATCTGTCACTAAGCCTGACAGCAAGAGGGTGTTAATAATCCTCAGAATTGGGGTCAGCCTGAGCCGGTCACCATTAGACTGGCAGATGTGACAGACAGTTGATGGGAAAAATGACTCTGCTGCAAGGCAGCCTCCCATCTACAGCAGCATCAGTGCAGGAAGTTGGGATGTCCTGGCTGTCAACACTGGCTGCAGCCTCAACACCACCTCCTGCCGCACAGAACTGAGCACAGGCTCTGTCTGAGCACCCCAAGTTTTGCTCACTGCTGTCAGACAGGCCCTTCCAGCAGCTAACGCCCAGTGCTTGGCATGACAAGCAAGCTGACAGGGATGCAACGGGCTGTGTGAGAGCCTACCGGCTGGCACGGGGCTTGCTGGCAGAACTGAAGCCGTTCGGTTCAGTGCTGCTGCTGCTCTCCCCTAGCAGGGCTGGTTTCGGTACCTGCAGCCCTGAGCGCAGCAGCTTGTGGGATGTGGACTGAGCAGCAGGGCAGGACTGTGACCTGCCACCCTGCTTCGGTACTGCTACCTGCATTTGGGGACATCCCGAGGAGAGGAGTTGTCAGCTGCCCCTTTGAGGTTCCCTGTGTGCCCTGACAAGCAGAAGTAAGTGTTCACAGGGACTTCAAGGTGTTCCAGTATGACTACTGCACACATCTGTGTTCACGCTCTCCTTCCCAGGATGGCACAGCTTATTGGCAACTGGCAAAAAAGCATCCAACTGAGTACATGGAGCTTCTGTCTCTGGAAAATGCACCAGGGAGAGGCACTTTCTGCAAAGGGACCAGACCCCTGACCCATTAAACGTCTCAGCCTGCCTTCAGTCTGGGGCAAAGGATGAAGGAAAGTGCTTGCTGCGACCTGAAACCATCCCCCCCCAATTCCTCAGTGCTCCTGTGCAATACCGAACAGCATTTCAGCAGTTATTTTCTTTTAGCTGTGCTGAAGTTGGAGATGTTTGGCTGTATGTGGGTGGGGAGAGCACTGAACTCCCGTGAGTTCATTTGTGTTACCAAAGGCTGCGCAGGCACTCGCTGTAAGTACACTCAGCCCACAGGATGGCAGAACAAGCCTGATAAAACCGACTGCAGCTTTGTTCCTCTCTTGTGGCAAAGCAAGGTCAGGTGTGCAATTCCTTCACACCACAGGAACAGTGAGCCGCCAGACCCAGGATCTCTGTCCCAGAGATGTGCTTTCTACACCACATGCTGATCCACTCTCCCCACCTGAGACTGAGCTGCACGTGGGCAGCTGGGGCCAAGTTTTCAACCACGCCAGAAGGCAGAACCCAACCACGTGCAGCTTGACCCATTTTCTGCAAAAGCAACGTGACCCGATTGCAGATTGATTTAGGGCTGTGGTGGACGTTGCTTCACCTGCACGCAGGAAGGACGGCTCATCTTGAGCTCTGAAGCCCGGTACATTGGAGGGAACAACGGCATCTCAGAGACCTTCAGCAGCCTGGTCCGAATGCTGCGTGGGCTGACTGCACGAGGCACCCCGGGACCAGGTCTCTGAGTCTCCCTAGTACTTTGTGTGGTATTAAACAGTTCAAGCAAAAATGATGACTTTGGACGCTTGGGGAAGCCTTTTTCTTTTTTTCTTTAAAAAAATAAAACTGTCATCCTCTGCTCACATCAGCATGTGTGTTAAATTCAGAACTGAGTCCTGATTTTTTTCTGTTTAGACTGAAATTGCTTAGAACCTTGTTCCTTACATCTGACTTTTTGGTGTAGGTGTACAACATTTATTGGCACTAGCATTTAAGCTCTCCTCTCTTGTAGAGAGGCACATAAGCTTGTACACACACATGCTGGCACAGGCACAATGAAAAAGCATTTGCTCCCCCACTGCTCACCTGCCAGCTGGGGTTACTAAACTTTTCCCTTGAAATAAAAATGCTGTGGAATAATAAGTCCCACCTGTTGGCCAATTCTTTCTTTTTTTTCCAGGTCCTTCTGCTCCTTTCATCATAGCTTCATGGAAAAGCCTTGATGTGTTATAGCTGCATGTGCTAGAGTAAAGGCCACCTCAGCTTTTCCATTATAAACCCCAGTTTTGAGGGGTTTATAAAACTCTTCTGCAAGAAGTTTGCTCCAGGGCTGTTACAAAGCAAAGAAAAGGGGCTGGAACCAGGATGGAGTTTATTTTTTCTCCTCCTTTCTTAATTAAAATTTGGCAAGTGATTGATCCACAATACAGGCTAATCACTTGGGGTAGTAGTTTGAAAAATACATTAACGAGAGCCGAGAGGTTGAGAAGTCATTAGGGCTCACATGGTGCCAGGAAGGATTGCAGTATTTTGTCTTAAAGTTGCCTCTTAAAAAAAAAAATGGCATGACGTCTGCTATAAATTGGCTAAAGCAAGAAAACTCAAAAGGAAGGATTTAGGCACTTCCTGCTGTCCTGTGGGTCTAAAAATGGGCAGTTTCCAAGCAGAACATGCTACCAGGCACAGAGAATAAAGACACACACACACAGAGCAACTTCGCCTACACAGTGCCACTGTCAAACCTGGGTTCAAAGCTTGCCCATTTTATAGGAAGGGAAACCAAGCCAGAGAGATGACAGGAGGGACCCAAACCAAGAGTCAGCTTCTGCCAGGAGATGAATCGAACTCCAAGATCCAATTCTCAACCAAGGCAACAGCCCCATCTCCCATCCACACCTGCACATGAAGTGGCAGCTTCTTCTCTGCAAATACTAATTCCCAGAGAAGCAGCCATTCACCACTGCCATGGTGGGGTACCTCCAGTTGTCAGGTAATGGGGTTAAAGCAATCAGGAGAGGAGCTCACCACCACACGCTGTCGGGAGGCCAAAACTGAAATATGTTAATAAATAACTGGACAACCTCATGGAGGATAGGAACATCATGAAAGATCAAGTGCAGCATCCTCCATGCAGCTGCTGACTCAGGAGGTCCCCATGTTGCTGGAAGCACTAAAGAATCACTCAGAAGGATTGCTCTGTGTCTGCGCTGCTTCTTACAAAAATACTCCAGCCCACATGGGGTGTATGGTATTATAGCCTAGAAAAAGTGACAAGGCTAAGAACGCAGTAGTGTAATCTACCAAAGATATAAATGTGTCAGCTGCAGAGCGTTCATATCTATCGATGGATCCCCTGGAAACATATTCTGTGATGAGGAAGGCTTTTTAGAAATAATTTTTTTTCCTTCTCTTGCAGTTGTCATTTTCAACTAAGCCCAAGACAGGCAAATACAAGCCAATACACATTGGAAATACTGGATCTGTCTGTCCGGGCAATGGGGGAAACTCAGCACACTGCACCTGCTCAAATAAACCTGCCCTCTTTCAGCCCCTGAACCCACCAACAGCTCCATCACTGGCAAACAACAGCCTGATTTAGCTTTTAACTCCATTTACTTCATGAGGAAGGATATCAGGGTTTGGGGGATCACAGAACCACAGCTCATGGGGACGTCAAGAACTCACCAACCCATTCACTTTGAGAGATCACCTCAACCTGAATTACTGCTGAAGGGCATGCATTAAACCTGTTCTCACAGACCTCCAAGGCTGGAGGCTCCAAACCTCCCCAGCAAAGCACTGCAGCAGATTGCCAATCTCTACTGTCAGAGCACTCTTCCCAGGGGAAGGAAAACGTGAATCCCACCCTCTAGTAGCTGTAGGGTCCCTCTCGGTTAATGGGAAAGGATACAGAAGGGGCAGACAAACTTCTTCCCGAGGGAGACTCATCCCCCACATCCCAGTGACTCAGGGCTGCAGACCAACAACCAGCTGAGGACAGACACCCCCCACGAGGACAGTCAATGTTCAGGGAAATGAACCCCACATCCCAGTGCCCAGGCTAAGCCTCCCTCCTGCAACACCATTTCCCCTCCTGTTTTTGATGAACCTTTTCAGGGTTTTCAGGCGTCCCCAAAAGGGATCACAGGGAAGTCACTCCAGGCTGGTGTCCCAGTTTCTGTGTGACTTGAAGACATCGACTAGCTCTCTGCATGGAGGATGGATGAATGAGAAACATCACTGTGCTGAGTGCCCCAGACAACCAGCAAGTAGGGAGTAGCAAGCTCATGAGTGTGGTTTGACACAGCAATACAAAACCAGCAGACAAACCCAGCTGACAAAACAGGTAATGAGATTTCCTGGGACCCCAGGCACGATCACATGGCATCAAGCAACACATTCTTGTACCCATCTCCCTGTCTCCACTCCTGTTGTGCCTACAACCCCAGAGCTGCCTGCAGCGTACAGCACACCTTTAGCCTCCGTCCCCTGGACCGCAGCCCTCAGGCAGACCGGTTCTGCTCACAGAGCAAGTGGAAGGAAAGAAAACCACTCAGCTCATCATGTCCTGACACTGCGTAAAGGGATGGTTTCTCCCTTTCTCCATGGTCACCATGACGAGGACCGTCTAACCAAGCACTTTCTGTCAGTGCTGAAGCGCTGGCTAACTCAGTGAGCACCATGATTGGGTTCTCTTAAGCCATCTCCAGTGTCCCTTCTGCAACCCCAGCTTTTCCTTCTTGTTAATCCAACACAGCAACAGGAACTAGAGATACAATCTGCTCTGATGAATGTTTCATCCCCGGAACTTGGAGGTGGTTTGATGCCCTGAGCTCTAGTATAACAGTACTTAAGCTAGAAAGTCCAGCAGCCATTTGTAGCGTTGGCGGTTAAAAATCTCTCCCCATCTCCCTTAGCAACAGAAAAGTTATAATTAGTGATTAGACATCAAGAGCCAAAAGTCCAAAAACTGTATTTTCAGAAAGCCTAAGTGCTTTAAAGATCCAATCCTCATCAGTGCCCTAGACACCACCAAAGTCAGAGGACACTAGAGATGCTCAGATCATTGTAGCATCATATCCTAGAAAATGTTGAAACATTAAACCTTTTAAAAAACACTTCACCTCCTCTGGTCCATAGACAAATGTGAGCATCAAATTTTACCTCCCTTCAATACCCTGCAGAGGTTTAGAAGTGCTCCCAGGCGCTCTGAGCCTTCAGTTCCAGGGCCTTCTTCAACACACGGTCCTCCCTCTCTCTCTCTCAGACACACTCACGCTCTAATTTCATATTAGATCTCGTCTGGGCATATAAACCACAGGCGCACAGGAGAAAGGGGACTTTCCACCAGCAGGGAGAGCAGATCTCCAGAACGTTCAAAAGGGGCCGGAAGCCTGACACAACCCACCCGCCCCAACTCCTATTAACTCCAACAAATTGTTTATTGCACAACTGAAGAAAAATGTTGCCCCTCTCCCCCAGCCAAGTCTTTCCATGTGTGCTGCACGCGCAGGCTCCCTCCTCCCGCCCCACTGGGGAGCCAGCTTTATACCCAGGGAAAGGTAACAGCAGCGATTATTACACACACTATCCCACAGCTCCTCGCTTGTTAAAAAAACACAAGAGTCTCTTTTGTGCCCGAAATAAAAGGAGATACCTTAATTAGAACAATGCAGGTTGGTGAGCATTAAACACTGAGCCCAGCTGCTGTATGCCATTAAATTCATAAAAAAGGAGGGGGGAAGGAGGGCAGTCTTAACGAGATTACACACATTGACTTTGATCAAGACACAAAAGCACCAAGGCGTTCCAGGGTTTTTATTGCTGTCTTCGGGCTACATTTTAATGGTTACATTAGAAACATGCGAACACAGGCTGTGAGATTTTTTTTTTTGAGACGGGAGAGGGACTGCAAGCATGCCTTGTGAAAAGGCCTGGTTTAATAAATTGGGGGCTGCAGGGAGAGGCTAGGACTGGGGAACATATGAGTAGCCACTTATTAATTGCTTCCCCTATGCAAGTGCCAAGTCCTAATATGATGTCTTGCTGGACTATTCCCATCCCGGCCGCCTGGTCAGCAGAAGAGCCACATGGGGAGAGCGCACAGCCAGCTCCATCCCCACCTTCCTCACGGAATTCTAGCGGAGAGACGGCTCCCCCTCTGTAAGGGTAAATGCTAACCCCTGAGCACCCGGAGTGGGGTTTCCCTGTTCTCATGAGCAGCTGTGACCACTGTACATGGAACAAAGGGGCCTGAAGTTGAACTAAGTCGCTGCTGAGCCTAAAGAACAGCCTGAAATCGGTGCCACAGATTTAGAAGATGACTTAAAGCTGCTGGGAAGAGGAGAGGACAAAGACTTCAGAGTAAAGAAAATTTAAAAGAAATGAGTGTTTTATCCTCTGCTTGTCGCACCGCTGAAGGACAAGATTACTCTTCGCTTAGCAAAGGTGGCAGAGCATGCATTCATCCAAACACCTCACAGCTACGTACCCACATATGTGTCTTTTATAACATGCTGCTAGAATGTTTACAAAAGCTTGTATAATCTAAATAGTGATGGGGTGTAGCTGAAGAGCTATAAAACACAGCCCAAGGGATAGCCAAGTTATTGAGTTGCTATTAGTACTCAAGCCCACAGGCACTTCACCATCCTGGTAACTTTTCTTGGACAAGACTTTTAAAAGGCAGGATTTAAAGGAGCATGATTGGCTTAATCGTAATTCCAAGCACACAATGTGTTCTATAAAGTAGATTTCGTAATGCCTTACAGGAACAGTTTTTAGGAGTGGCATTCCCTTACATTTTTTGCAACTCAACTATCATCTTGCTAGCAGGAGAACTAAAGAGCACAACTGACTATTTTCCACTCCTCAACCTGAATGAAATGAAAGCTTGAAAATCATCTGCGCAGGGAAAATGAAAAGCTGATTAAAAAGCCCACAGTTTTAACAAAGGAAAGGAAACCACTTTATTTAGTAACACCTTAAATTTTAACCTGATGTCTTTTAGTACATGTATAAATGATTACTGCATTGGGTCACCTATTCAATGCTCAAGGTAGTCCCCAATCCTCCAAACAGAATCACGTAGCACTTGAAAACTGCACAGGGCTATTTCAAATACTCTGAAAAATATAGGTTCAAATTCAGCTTCCTTCCATATCATCTGTCCTGAAGATTATTCCCTTGGCTCCAGGGGAATATTAGGTTTCTCAGAAGTTGCCCATTCCATGAATCTCAGTGGATTTGGCCGCCATTCTCACAGCTCTACCTCCGTGCATGGATGCTCCACATGAAATTACTGTAAAGCAAGGCTGTCCCCGGCACAGACCTCTTACATGACCAATGGTTGTCCCTACAGCAGCCCAGGAGTGAGCAAGGAGCAGGACTCCACTTTGGTTATGATGACTCAAATGAAACTCACTCAAGTTAAAGCTAGAGTGGGGCGTTAAACAGCAAGGACTGGGATGTCTGCACGCACGGCACTCAGATTGCTTAAAACAGAACAAAAAGCACCTTTCTCCGTGGTGATTTAAATAAAGTATCCCAGAAGACAGGAAAAAGTCTGTAAGTCAACAAGAAAGTAGCCAAGAGCCTCACCAGAGTCCGCAGCCAGCATTCTTCACAGTGCACGTGCCAGCACTGAATGGAAGTCAGGGGCATTGTGTAGGAGTCCTGAGCAGAAGAAGGAAACAGGTTATTCCCACAGCAGGGTTCTACTGATTCTTCGCCCTCAAGTCCATCACATCACCTTTCTTTGTGGGGAACGTTGCCTTGTATTTTGTATTAAAACAAAAAAAATCTTGTCATATTAAGTTTGTATTTTTGTAATGTTAATGTAGTAAAGGCAGAAAGTCTCCTGCAGTCCATCTTTCTGGCATCTCCTGTTGGAAGCACATAATCCACTCAAGCGGTGACCTCGCTCAGCAGTTATTGCAGGAGCATCTGAAGTTGCTGTGGGCACCTGCCATTATTCCCATCAGAGAGGTCACCGGATCAGACAAAAACCAGTGACAGGGAAAGATTAACCCTTATCACAACTCTTAGCTCTGCAGGAACACCTTAACTACATCCCAAGAATGCTGCTGCTATTTTAGCAGACATGCCTAGTATTTTCTGTCATTGCTAAAATACCTCTGGAAATCAGCAGCAAGCTGTCACCCTTGCGGGATGAGCGATGGGGACTGCATCCCCATACCTACAAGCCGTGAGCTGGGAGAGAGAGCACCATGCATCAAGCTGAAGTTGCAGCGGGAGCCCTCTGCCAAGCAGAATTTTCTCCTGCTGTCAGCAGAATAAAAACCAAACAGAAGATGCAAAGCTTTGCAGGCTCAGCCCATCAGAGGGAGCTGCTGCCCTTCTTAAAGAAGGCCACAGCATCACGACAGAGCAACCAGGACATGGCCAACTTTTAAATGCTCAGGCAACATTCCTGTTCTCAAATCATATGGTGGCTCTCAGATCCCAGACTCTGCTCTCTCCTATGTATGTAAATCTGTGCATGCAGGAGGAGGACACTGGTATCTGGGAGTTTCCTATAGGTAGGCTGAAAGTCTTCTGAAGTTGGGGCTTTCTTGCCCTGATACAGATGGACAGCTACAAATATCAGTGGAAGCATGTAATACATACAGAAATTTCAATTGCTAAAAAGACCTGGCACCTTAATTTGGAAGGCTAATTGGTGTACATGGACAAAGACAAGTTCCCCGACTCCACCCGAAGAAGGAGAAAAGCTTATCCCCTCCTCAGCAAAGATACCGAGACATTTCTGATTCATTACCACAAGTGGAGTGCTACTCACCATGCAAATGAGACATTTATAGCGGTCCCCACGGGAAAGCTGCCTTTCTAACTCACGGACACGAGCCTTTAACGCTTCAAATGTTGTCACTGCAGAGTCTTCTGTAATTCTATAAAAAGATGATAGAGCGTGAGCGTCACTGAGCACACAAGATTGTTAAGAGTTCAGGGGAAAAGGGATCCCACAACAGGTACTGCACAGGAAATCGCAACATTTGAAATAATACATCCAACTTGGGGTGAAGAAGAATTCCTGAAAAGCCCAGTGTGAATTATTTGAGGTGTCCTACTAAACACTGCTAAACACATAATGACAGAACACGACGGGGCTGGGGTTGCCAACTTCACACAGAGCAAGCTTCCATAAGACACGGACATTAAAAGAACAGATTTTTTGTTTGTTTGGTTGGTTTTCTGCCTCTTTTCTTGTCTCCCTTAAGAGATTCCTTAGGAACAAATGCTTCAGACAAAGTTCTGTACACTGCTCTAGAGCTCATGAGATAACTTTATGTGGGCAATAGGAGCTGGTCTTCCCCTTGGAGAGTGAAGGTCTTTGCTGGCCATTAACCTTGTGAAACACAAAACCAGCTCATTACACAGGATCAACACAATGCTTTTATATTAAAGAGACCCCTAGCTTCTTGGGTTCTAATACTGAAAAAAAGGAGAAACCAAAAGCAACGGACACTGTGCCAAGAGGGTGGCTATAAAAGCAGCTTTACAATCTCTGCTTTCCCATTTCCTGGGGTCATTTTTGATGGGCAGCATTATCTCTTTTGTCACAGAGGCCTGTGCTGAGGGCAGGCAAGTGTATTTTCATGGCTCTGTAAGGCTGGTGGAAAGAGCAACTTGCCAACCTAAAAGCAAGGGCAGACAGCAATGCTTAGCAAATGAGATGCAGGGAGCACTACAGACAAGGATGTGTCACCCCAGCAAGCTGCAAAATCCGATTTCTACACAGTGCAGACACAGGGAGGGGCTCTCAAGCATTCCCCAGAAAACATTTAGAGTATTGCATGGACATCGAGGCTTTCATTCTTGTGAAAAAACAAAACCAGCAATTTTCACGTATGGCAGTGAAATTTCAAGCCTGTCCAAGAAGAGTACATTGCCACCAGAAGCTGTATCAATCTCAACATAACCCACAGTGTCTTCTACCTTTTTAGAGGACAACAGGTGGTTAAAACACAGGTCTAGTGGAATTACTACAACAAATAAAGCGAGCTGCAACCTCAGCACCCCCCCGCACGCACACACTCCTTTGTTCATTAGTCACTTGTCGCGGGCACGCAGGGAGGGACCTGAGGTATCCCTCCCAAGGTGATTTCACTGCTTTTCCCAAGGCTCTGGACACAGAACTAGTTGAAAAGATGTTGAGTGACTTTTAAAATTATGACACTTCAGAGGAAACTGGAGCTGCAGGAGTGCATATAGTTAAGTTCCAGTGTTATAAAGCTCCTCCAACTTCACTCCTACCTTTGTACAGATCAGACGCTCTCTGCACGAGCTAACCAAGGAGGGACCTTCATCAGGAGGAGATTCATTGCAAATGACAGCTACTAGGAAATGGCAAAAACTTTAAAACTGCAAAAAAGGCAAAGAAATACACGTGTCCTGTGAGAGCCTATTAGGTGAGGACTGCCTAGGGACAAGGACACTGTGGATTCAAGTCTTGGTATCAATATTCTTTGGAGCAAAATGAAAGAGCTTCGGTAGGAGACAGCACTCCCCTCCGAAACACCCACTTGCTCCCGCTCATCGGTATAAATTATTGTCTCCCAGTTTGGGTTCTCAACCTCAAGGAAGAGTTGTTAGTGCTTTCAAAGAAAGTCTAGAAAGGTCTTAAGTTTTGTCCAAGGAAGAAGGAGAATAATCTATTTATAGCTTGAAGATTATTGTGGGATGAATAAAATGTTTCCCTTCCAGTCTGGCCCATCAACAAGCTGATGCTGGATGAAGGCTGCAGTTGAACTTGACTTTCTGGAATCCATTTCTCCTTCCTGCACATGCAAGGGCACTGGAGGTGTAAAGGCAGTGAGTGCGGCTCTGGCCCAAAGCGGGTGGCAAGCAAAATCTCAACTCTTACTAAATTCTCCCATTACTATCTGTGGAGCTATCTGTCCTTCTCTGAAGGGCAGGCGACTCAGCAAGGAAAGGGAAAAGTGGAATCCCTCAGCAGATCCAAGCAAAGGCCAATTCATCCCCTGTCCCAGCCCAATAACAGTCAAAGCTTGAGAAGGAAAAATCTGCCACTGCAACACCTATAGGAGATAGAAAATGGCTTGTTTATAGAAGTCTAAATGGCTGACCCCCATTGGCCAATTTCAGAACGTCTCTGAGATAATCACACCTGTCCAGTAATAAACGAATGAATCAGAAAAGGAGGCTGAATAGAGGTATAAGCAATAATGCTCAGAGGCTGCCTGATACAATGGCCAATCAATAGGAGGGCTGTAGATCAGGGTGCTAGTTAGCTGGAAAATTACCGCACCACTGCGTGCGTCACGCTGTAGGGATCCTGGACAATCAATGTGGGAGGTATTGATTTAGTTATTATCACTTCATACGCTCCAGACATTGTTAAATATACATTTATTAACAAGACTGGGGTGCATTGGTAAGAGAAGGAGCTTTAGCCACTGCAATATCTCCCAGTGCTGATCAAAGCTCAGCTCTGACAGACTTTAAATTCCATGTTCTCCTTGCTAAGTGTGCTCTCAGGACAAATCCTGACGCACAGCATAGTTCTGAAGACGCAGCTCCTATCTCGCAAGAGAGACATTTTGGCCACAAGTGAATATTTTGCACTTGAGATTTCAGGAAAGCCTCCTGGAGCAGCAGCAACCAGGGATGTGGCGGCCAAGGGTCAACCCAAAGTGAGCGATAATTGCATGGATGCTTCCAAAAAGCCGGAGGAAATGAGGTCAAGGGAAATAGGGATAACATTAGTAAATAAAGGAAACTGGAACTACCTCCAGGGATGGAATAAAGACGAGAGTCACTTCCCATGTGTCTGGCTCCCGTGGTGGCCAGCACACTTGGGACACATGCCATTCCATTTAGTGACACTTTACCGTCAACCTGCTGCTTGTATCCTAAAGATAAGCATCACTTCGGAGCAACTCTTCCTGCAGCAGCAATCTTGGGAACTCCCTCAGGCTTCCCTCTTGCGTGCGCGCCTCGTGTGTGCCTCCCCAGACGCACCCGGGAGCAGCCTGTGCAGTATTTTTACCAGGTAACGCCAGGGTGGAGCGAGGGTCATAAAGCCGACCTCGGGGTAAGGTTGTGTACAAGTTACCCTGCCAAGGGAGGCAGAGGGAATTACAGGGAAGAAGGAATTGGCTTCCACAGCCCTGATCTCCCTGCTTTACCTTGACCTCATGCTGGATGTAGGAGGACTCTTTTAACAATTTTGCGCCTCAGCGCTCTGATTTGACATGTTTGGATAACGTCATTTATCAGCCTCCAGAGAGACTTGCTGAGCACAACCGCTGCCTGGAGCAATGCCTCGAGTCCCAGTGCTGGTGCTGCTCCAGCCATGCAGGTGTGAGCAGCCTCGCCCATACCTGAATTCTCCTCCCTGGCTGAGGACGTATCGAGAGGGCACACCCACGCTCTCCTTGCTGTGGACCTACACCACCACAAACAGCGGAGCCTGAGCAATGTTTACACGAAAGCAAAAACACCAAAGGAGGGCTCCTCATGGAGGAAGCTTGGTCCCGCACTTCTCTCTAGACTTTGTGGTTAACTCTTCAACAACTTGGCAGTCGCAGTTGAGGATGCTGGGTACCCAGGGAGCAAGTCTATGAGACTGGACAGACAGCATGGGACAGTCCATCTTTGTGCCCAATGCACGTTTTTCTACTGTTCATGGCATTTTCCCCTGAGCACTGAAAATAAGAACAAACTTTCTTTCTCTGAGCAAATCCTTGCCCTGTTCAGGTAAAAGGCCAGAAGAAAGGCACAAAAACACCACAGAAGAGGAAAAAGGACCTATATGTAGCTTTGAGCCGTTACTCAGCAATCACCTCCTGGGAAATCTCCCCTGGGAATCGGCTGCCCACCACCACCACCCTCCCCCCTTCAAAAAAACCTCAACCCAAACGCTGGTTATTTGTCAAACATTAGCATGCATGCGATCTTTGTTTCTCCAAATTAAATCAAGCAATTCCTACTTGCTGTCCCAGTGGGCAATCACAAGCAATTCCGTTAATTAAATTATCTCTGATTCTGCAGCTCTGGAATCTCTCAATTGACTAAGTCTGTGCTTTATCATCAACAAAATACTGGACCAAAAAGGAAACAAAAAAATGCTGATGTCAAAGCAATTGGCTTCAGTTAACCCTTCCCAGCTGGATATTAAGGGCTGCTAAAGAAACTGTTGGACTGGAACAGGCCCAAGAGCAAGAACCTCATACCAGAGATACCAGGAGCATCTGTTCACTTGTCTTTCCTTTCCATTGTACTGAAAAAAACCCACATTGCTGCATCCAGCATCCTGCCTATTTGAGAACCACAGAAAGATGCAAACTATAAGCTGCTGAAGAGGCAGAAAAACACCTCAAAGATTAGTCAATCCTCATGGATACCCCATTCCTCCCCTTACCCAGATCTCACTTGATGTATCCTGCTGTTGAGGAGGCTCCATAAAACATTCCCCTTTTGTTTATTTCAACTGGATATAAATTTTCCTTTCTTCATAAACGGTCACACTGTACACAGCATTCCATAAATTTTTACAATTCCACTGTTTGTATGTACCTTGTAAAAAACGCTTAGCACTGATTAAATGCACCACCAATAAAATTTCATGGGCTACTTTTGACACTTGATATTCTGACCTTCTTCTCTCTTCCTCATGCACTTATTTTTGTTTCGTATGCCTGTAAACACAGAACAGCAGAGGAGAAAATGTACAGTACCACTGACAAACCCAAGAGTGATGTCTTTATTTTTAAACAAAGCCTTTATCTTCCCTTGTCCGAGGCAGAGAACCTGATCCCAGCAGAACATACATGCCATTTCCCTGCACCAGGGGCAGAGGTCAGGTCGCTAGCAGCTTACATATCATAAATACTAGGAACAGACTGGTCGATGCTTTGAAGGCAGA